GTCCTGTCCTGCAGGCGGACACATGTCCTGTCCTGCAGGTGGAGACATGTCCTGTCCTGCAGGTGGAGACATGTCCTGTCCTGCAGGTGGAGACATGTCCTGTCCTGCAGGAGGAGACACGTCCTGTCCTGCAGGCGGACACACGTCCTGTCCTGCAGGTGGAGACACGTCCTGTCCTGCAGGAGGAGACACGTCCTGTCCTGCAGGCGGACACACGTCCTGTCCTGCAGGCAGAGACATGTCCTGTCTTGCAGGCAGAGACATGTCCTGTCTTGCAGGCAGAGACATGTCCTGTCCTGCAGGAGGAGACATGTCCTGTCCTGCAGGTGGAGACATGTCCTGTCCTGCAGGAGGAGACATGTCCTGTCCTGCAGGCAGAGACATGTCCTGTCCTGTCTTGCAGGCAGAGACATGTCCTGTCCTGCAGGTGGAGACACGTCCTGTCCTGCAGGTGGAGACACGTCCTGTCCTGCAGGCAGAGACATGTCCTGTCCTGTCTTGCAGGCAGAGACATGTCCTGTCCTGCAGGTGGAGACACGTCCTGTCCTGCAGGTGGAGACACGTCCTGTCCTGCAGGTGGAGACACGTCCTGTCCTGCAGGTGGAGACACGTCTTGTCCTGCAGGCGGAGACACGTCCTGTCCTGCAGGCAGAGACACGTCCTGTCCTGCAGGTGGAGACACGTCCTGTCCTGCAGGTGGAGACACATCCTGTCCTGCAGACGGAGACACGTCCTGTCCTGCAGGAGGAGACATGTCCTGTCCTGCAGGTGGAGACACGTCCTGTCCTGCAGGTGGAGACACGTCCTGTCCTGCAGACGGAGACACGTCCTGTCCTGCAGCTGGAGACATGTCCTGTCCTGCAGGTGGAGACATGTCCTGTCCTGTCCTGCAGGTGGAGACATGTCCTGTCCTGCAGGTGGAGACATGTCCTGTCCTGCAGGCGGAGACACGTCCTGTCCTGCAGACGGAGACACGTCCTGTCCTGCAGACGGAGACACGTCCTGTCCTGCAGGCAGAGACATGTCCTGTCCTGTCCTGCAGACGGAGACATGTCCTGTCCTGCAGGCGGAGACACGTCCTGTCCTGCAGACGGAGACACGTCCTGTCCTGCAGGCAGACATGTCCTGTCCTGCAGACGGAGACATGTCCTGTCCTGCAGGCGGAGACACGTCCTGTCCTGCAGACGGAGACATGTCCTGTCCTGCAGGAGGAGACATGTCCTGTCCTGCAGGTGGAGACACATCCTGTCCTGCAGACGGAGACATGTCCTGTCCTGCAGGCAGAGACACGTCCTGTCCTGCAGACGGAGACATGTCCTGTCCTGCAGGCAGAGACACGTCCTGCTCTGTCCTCAGCTGACAGAATGGTGACACGCTCACGTCTCTGACTCTCGGTCACAGTTTTTATTTTAAACTGAACGTGAGCGATGACCCAAACAAGACATACAGATTAGAAACCAGACAAATGATGAGTTATGAATGAAGAAGCTGAAACTGAGCTACAGGCTAKGTATAACAAAATGCAAACTAAAAGCTAATATTAGCCTATTATTAGCTAAAAGCACTAAATGCAATCAAAACTTAAAAACAGAAAATTGCTAACTGAAAAGCAAGACAAGATGCTAGCTGTAAGATACACATTGCACAAGACAAACACTAAGAAACAAAATGCTAGCTAAAAGTAGCYTAAGCTAGCTAAATTTAACAAAATGTTAGGGCTTGATGAAAAGTAGTATCAGTAGGACGAGCATTAGCATAAACAGATTTAGCATTTAGCAGTACCGTCAGCTCATTTATGCATGTGCTGAAAGAAACACGTCCAGGAGGCTTTGTTTGTTTTTAGCATGTAGCATTTTGCTAGACCGCTTCGTCACAGAACGGATTCATTTTCAGTCTTTCCTCACCTCTCATGTTTCATAGAAAAGGGAACGGTTGCAACAGATGAAGAAAAACAGAACAGAAAACAAAAACAGAATTCCTTATTAGCCTAAATATGTCACAGTTTTATCAACCAGTCAACCCAACATTTTTCTGCTCAATTATAATTTTTTCAAAATATGTGTTATTTTTTAATAAGGGAAATATAACATTGTCTAGGAAAATAGGTCAGTTCATAGCAAGTAATATTTTAAATACTAAATATTAACATGTATGCTTTATTAATCTATTTTATTAATAAAATTTATATTAGTATGTTATATTAAAACAGTTTAGATGTTCGTTGGTCCTGATCCAGATTAAATAAAATAAAGGTTTTGGTGTTTTGTATGTGTGAAATGAGCAGCAC